CAGCAGGAACTCTGACTCCATCTTTCTGATTTCCCTGTAGTGTCCCTGGGCTGCATTTGCCTTTGAGTGAGATTTACCCCTCTCCCACCCTGGTGTTACTGGTGGAAAGTAAAGGCCTTGTTATACACTGTGCGGGACACAAATATTGATTGGTGTTAATGTTAGCTTGAGTTTGGAGCAGTCACATGTTCAGGCCACGCAGGGCTTAGAGGATGAAAAAGAAGAATCTCTCCCCACACACCCCATCCTGGGATTACCCCCTGGCCCTGGGGCTTCTCAGGGTTCCCTTCTGCCTCCCCACCCCTATTTGTTGCTGCTCATCTGTCTATCACAGGGGAGTAGGCAGGTAGGATTAACCTGCTTGTCCAGCAACTGCTGCCAGGCTGCTGCTCTTTTCAAAGCTGAGCCCACCCAGAGAGCAGCAGGAGCAGGAGCCACCCAAAATTACCGTGTAACAAGGCCCTAAATATAGGTACCTTCATACTAGTCAGGAACTCAGTATTTCCAACTGGGAGATACTAACGTGACACCAAATTGCTCAGGGTGGCTTACAGAATCATAGCAGTATTGGCCTTAAGGAAAAAGAGAATTCTGTCCTATATGTCTGAGAAATGCTGATCAGAGCTCTGAATTGGAAGAACTGACCCGCAGTGCACCGTGCCACACCCAGTGATGCATGGTTTCAGGATGAGTGAGCATATGGCACCAGGGAAGTAAATCATAAGTCTGGGTGGAAGGCAAGTCATGTTCATCTCTGAAGAATGTTAACATAAATTGAAAGAAAACAAATGGAGTGTCAAGCAAAACCCAATGCTTAATGAACTGTATTGGGCAATATTGCTTTCCTGCACAGACGCATTCAATTAATCAGAGTTCACAAGGGTTTTACCCAGTAATTCCTGTTATCTCTTCAACATCTCACTCTATCATCTTAAGGGCAGGGCTGCATTGCCTGTCTTCCTCTTCCTCAGCTCGTGAATGCAAAAAATCAAATTTTTACTCATCACTCTGACCAGGTGATCAGAACTAGATGATAGCTGGAGGTAATGGAGAAGAAATGGTAATTCTCTCCAAGGGAATGGGCCTTGGAAGGAGCATATCATCCACCATCTGAACCTGTGATTTTTTTTTTTATTTTTTTTTTTTTACCAAGATATCAAAGCAGTTTCCATAGATAAGACTTGCTCAGGTCATGCCAAATAGCATGTTGGGACTTTTCTTAATTTAGAACACAGCCAAAATTGAGGGGAAAAAAGTGAACTCTTGCCCTAAGAAGAGCATTGTTCTACCTTCCCTTGTACAGCCTGTCCAGGAATTACCTAACTACAATGTTAACATAGCAGAAGTAAAATTTATACCCAGAAGTGTATTTATTCATTATCAGTCAGTGTTATACGCTGCTGAGTGACTTCTTATCTGGAAAAAGCCATTCAAGTGTCCTGTAGTTTCCTCGTGTGTCGGCTTGTTTTGGAAATGATGGATAGTTTCTTGCAAAGTTGGGCAGAGTCTTTGCTATATGCCTTCTCAGAAGAGCTGGCTTACCGATAGGTTCATCTCTGACTTGTATTTAATAGCTCCTCATGTACTTCCATGTGTTTGTCTAATTCCTTTTTGAACCTGTTTGGTTTCCTTTCCACATATTTTTGGCTGAGTTCCATTAGATGTTATATGTGAATAAAGAAAACCTTGCTTCCTTTTGTTTATTTTAAACCTGCTGCTTTATAATTTCCTCAAGAGTCTCCTAGTTCTTGTAGTGAGACACAGTAAATAATTGTTTCTTATTCACCTTTTTCCACATTAGCCATGCTTTTATAGATCTCCATAATGTCTTCCCTTTAGTCATCTCTCTTCCAAGCTGACACCGCTAATCCTTTTAAGTCTCTCTTTATATGGAAGCCATTTCAGTCTGTTGATAATCTTTTTTGCTGTCCTCTGTACCTTCTCCTTCTGGTTTGCCCTTTTTTAAGAGAGGGTGACCAGAAGTCCCCCGTTTCCAGGATGTGGGCATAATATAGGAACTTGAGCGTGGAAATTATACCATTTTATGCCCTTCTGGTTGAAGAGGCTGGGAGAGACTTGGCCCTGCATCCAAATCCATATTCAAGTGCCTTACAAATATCTAACCTAGGGGTGGACAATTATTTCAGCTGGGGGGCCATTTAACGAGATTTGGTGAGTTGTTGAATGCTGCACACACAATCTTTCAGAAGATACATTTTAATAAATTATAGATAAAAAACCAAATCATATACTAAAAATCAAACACATGCTATAACTTATTTTAATTTTATTTAAAAAAATAATTTTGATTTATGTTTTTTTGAGTAGTCTCTACAGAGGTGATTTCATAATACCTCAAAATAAAGTCTTACTTCTGTATATTGTATCTGGATGTGGGTGTGTGCGGGGGCTGCCTAAACACTAGGTCCTGGGGGCTCATACAGCAGAGCTCCCCAGGTGGTGTGGTGGTGGTGCGGTCTGCTACCCCTCCCCCGACACCCATCCAGCCTGTGGCTGCTTCTGCAGTGCTCCACATGGAGCTGAGCCCTGTCCGCTCCTGACTGGGGCAGCCCGTGCCACGCTTCTGCCTGCATCCTTCTCAGCTAATGCGCACAGTTTTCCATCAGGGCTGTCCTGCAGTTGCTCAGGTACTGCTTGTCTTCCTCTGCCTGTAGTGGCACCCCCTCCTCCTCCTGCCCCTGCTGCACTTCTCTGGGCAGCAGGTAGTGCAGGGAAGCTATGGGGACACGAGCCTAACACCACATGCCCAGCCAGGCAGGCAGAGTGGGTGCAAGGTGGCTGGAAGCTGGAGCTGGAGCTCTGTGAACTGGAGTAGGAGCTGTCTGGCTGCAGCTTCCCCCTACGTGGCTGCATGTATGGTTCCCAGCACATGTCCCCATGGCTTTCCTGAGCTACCACCTGCCCAGAGTGGCACAGCAGGGGCAAGAAGAAGAGGAGGATGAGCTGCTGGAGGTGGGGTTAGGTGAGCAGTACCTAGGTGGCTGTGGGAGTAGCACTGATGGAAAGCCGTGAGCATTGGCCAAGACGAGGGTAGATACCAGTAGGAGCGTGGCATGTGCCCTGGGTGGGAGCAGGCAGGGCCGGCCCCATGCGGGACACCAGGGGGATGGGGCACTGCCATGGGCTGGATACACTCAGTTGGCAGGCTGGATCCGGCCTGTGGGCTGTATTTTCTCCACCCCGATCTAATCTGAGTTTGTGCCATCTGGGTTGTGATCCACATTTCAATTTGATATACCAGCCCTACATACTTTTTATAGATCTTCTTAAAGGATGAACAGACATGTATACATTTAGGCAAGTATAATACTGAGTTAATTCACTGCAGTTTTAACAAACTAATTAAATATTTAACAATATTGTGATCAAATAGAGGTCATAACTACAACTGAATCAATAGTTCAGTAGCTCTAATTATAAATCATTAAATTAATAGAGTAAGTAATCTAATCATATTGAGGCTGACACTAGAAAGAATTCCTTTTAGTTTTATTTTGGAAGAATTTGAAGGAGTTAATGTCTCTCAACCAACCTTGTAGCCTGCACAACGTATTAATCTAACCAGTGAAGGGCACAGATCTTCATTGAACCTGGCAGGGGGTTTTTTGGTCTTGGAACCATGCCAAGAAAAGTTACCAAATGCAGCTTCATCTTCAGGGAAGGACAGTGGTTCACAGTGACTTCACTTCACCGCTGTCCCCTCACATCTCACTTTTATTACACAGTAGTTGGTTTACTCTTCTTTTTCCACTTCAATCGAACATCACAGAATCTTTTTGAAGACCTAGCATAGAAATAATAGCTAAATTGCACACAAGATCAGCTTTTGAATCGTACACCACTAAGAAGGATCTGCCTTCTTAATGGTGTATTAGGTAAAAGTTTTGAGAGCTTTGGGGTCTACTCCTGTGTAACTTTTATAGTACTGCAGACCAATTCAATCCAATTTTTGCACTGCCAGAGGTAAAAGCAGAAACGAGTTACCCCAGTCAGTCCTATCCTGGGCCAGATCCTTTAATCAGTTCAAGTTGATCTGTAAAGTTGGTATTTCAGTTGCTTTTGTTCTTTGATTGGTCCTGTTAGGAACCCCAGAACGAAAAAAAGGGCTTGCTTAGGGAGCATGTTCCCTGATTTTTCTAGAAACAGCCAAAGTATGTCCAGGTTCTCCTGTATACCATTTGTACAGCTATGGTAGTCATGCTT